AAAATCTCTTCCACGAGGCAGCAGTTAATAAGGAAATTAAAGAGAAAACTGGGGATATCAGTTATAAGTGGAAAGCCCTCGATTCAGCCAGGCATATGAGGTATAATAAATTCGTTTCAAGAGTATTTTATCGAATATTTCAGTCTACGTAGCAAATTACAGGTGAAATATCTCCATGTTTTCTCCCCGAACAATTTCATACAATTTTATGCATTAATAAGAAAAATATGAATTAAAAATTGTGCACCGCTTCTAAGTAGAAAACTCGAAGCATAGTCAGACTGTGGTTTCTTATGCTATTTTTCTGGAGTTTCCCGCGGTTTTTCGGGCAAAGTGGGATAGACTGCTGTGGAAAACCTCGCAGTAATTCGTACACCATTGAGGGTCCTTTCAGGTTTCCTTTGATGTCAGTTACAGCATTTCGCCACAGGCTTATCTCGTACCAAATATAGTGCACTGGGTAAGGAGGGACTAAAAATGTAATCAGTCCTAAAAGAATTGGTCACCATATATACCGTAAAAGAAAGAAAAATGACAAAACCTCTTATTTTTCTTCCTTCTACAGCATAAATGTGCATTTATTTTTATTTTCCCACCCTATCGTAATAATTATGATTTCTAGACACACCAGATTTCAGCATAAGAGAAAAATCTATCCAGATTATTACCTTTAATCTGAATATACGAAATTCTGTTTAATATAAATAAAATATAATTTTCTGTCCACGGAACGAAATGATACTGAAATCAGTCAAACGGTACTATTCATAACCTAATAAAGAGATGATTTATTTATTTAAATCGAGCGAATAACATATTACCTGATTTTATTTAAGCTAATTGAAGTTCCTTCGACTTATATCAAGTTCAATTAGAACTGCCGAACTCTGCTGATATGAAAATTCTATTTTGTAAGGAAATGCGATGAAAATAGCATTATTTAATAGCATAAGAAGTTTACGTAAGAGCAGAAGTTATCACTTTCCAGTGGAAAAGTCAAGGTCGAGTCTGACGGCAGTTATCCGTTGTGGTTTCCTTGGTTCTTGCGACAGGTTTTTCAGAAAGCCAGTGATAATGGCACCAAACGCTTACCAGCAATTCGTGTGCCACGAGGGGGCTCCTTTAGGTTCCTTTTGATGTCAGTTGCAGTACCAGCCTGCAGGTGCGCTGACGCTTTTCCCGCTTCTCGAAGTTCCCGCGGGATTCACTCGGAAAGTTTGTGCCAGCATTGCAGGTGCACCCAGAAATGTTCGCGATTTCCGCGATAAATTGTATTTCAATCCCCTGTAAACCATCGAATAAGGAAATGCAAAAAAATGTGTCAACTTCGTTCCGTCGCACTTAGAGTCACGGCAACAAACACGTTGCAATTTCTCATGACAATTGTCACGGGAAATAAAGTTGGGACTGGAATCGGAGACAAAACAGCGCAAAAATGGCATTACACCCGTTATATCACGAAACTCACCTTAGGGGAGATCGGGTATATTTTTTTCATGCGGTACAATTGTAAGACCGGTTATAAGTAAGGCAAATATTTATGTACAAATTTGGCTTATGACATAACACCGTTCACACGTGCGTGATGTCACAAGCAATTTCACGTAAGTCAACTCGAGGAGATTTGGGTAGATAACAGTTTTACCATTTCTAAGACGTGTAATTGCGATGACCAGGAATGGACAAGTTATAGTTAACGTTTTCTTTTTTGTGAATTTCTTCATATTCATTTGTTTATAAGTTAGTGGAAACAAGTTTATTTGTTTTGTACCCAAAAGATTCGTGTTATTTTCACTGTTTTGCTCTCTTACCGTATATCTGTTATAACTGAACCCGTAACCGGTCCACATGTAACAATTATCAACTCTAACTTGAATAATTTTTTGTCTGTAACCTGTAACGGAGGTATGACCGCAGTTAAGTGGCAAAGTGTTATTGCTAAAGTTACAATTGTAACGCGATAATTATTTTTGCGCAAATACTTTTGAGCAAAGTATCAAAAACATTCTCTACTAAAGCAAGTTACAATAACACTCGATCTCCGCTACAGTTAATCATCTAATCCCATCAGCCTCTTGAAAGACACCGAGATAAGTCGGCATGGACGCACTTTTTCATGGCGAATATTATTAAGCATCTATGATAACGTCGTGATATCAGCCACTTCGCGTCTCGCTAAGCCTTCTCATCAGATCCTTGCATGTTTTTTCAACTTCCATGTGCAAGGTAGACACGAGGTAGACGAAGATGACGAGTTATTACGGAATTTCTCTGCAATATTAATACCGCGTAAACGCTGAAAGGCAAAACGCACTCCAGGCACTTTTAGACAAAGGGAAAATTTTATGGGGAAACGGACTACTGGTTATAACGCACGTTTTCGCATGAGCGAGTGGGATTTCAAAAAAAAAAACTCGTAATGGTAGCCACCGTAATGGGGTCGAAGCTTGGAACGTTCCATTTACAGGGAGACTGTAAATGGACCGAAACGTTAAATGGTGTAGGTACTCGGTGGGAGATGAACGGCCCTCGGTTCATTTTGGTACTTTGGGTTCAAGGGGCACAAGCAGAAAAAGTAATTAGCGAAATTTGTTTGCTCCGCGATGAGAACGTTTATTGTTAATTTTGGTATTCCACGTTTAATGGGCGCAAGGGGGCAAAATAATTACGGAAATTTGTTTGTCCTGTGACGAGAATGATTACTATTAATTTTGGTATTCCGAGTTCAACGGGCGGAAGGAGAGATAATGATTAGCGGAAGTCGCTTGCCTTATGATAAAAATTGTTATTGTTACTTTTGAAACATGAAGAAGGGAATTTTGAAAAGGAAGTGAAAGTAATTTGAATTCGATATGAAGGGAACGGAGTTGCATATCTCGAGAATTGCAATTTACGAACAGATAGCGGAAATTAAATATAATTAAAATTGAATCACTACTATTTTTCTTTTTACTTCAGGATGAAAAGGTATTATTTCACTGTATTAAAAACCTGACTTATAAAAGTCCTCATGTCTCCCTATGCTTTGTATATGTTCGTTATGCTTCTGCATAAGAGTGATCCGCACAACCAACCCCATTTATATGCACGCGCGTGCACTCCGCTTACGCGGTGCATCCGTGAAGCCGCATTTTAAATTTCACAGCCGCATAATTAAATGGAAACCCCCGAAAGCAGTAGACTATCTCCAACTAAGCTTGCAAGTACTAACCACCCAAAAATTCTAACTTCCACTAAATCCCAGAAATATTTGCACCTTGCGACGAATTTAACTCCGCGCGTTCACTTTAACCCTTCCTCATTTGCATAGCAATGCACCTCGAGATGTGCGATGCATTGTCACATAGAAAGTTCCCATGTTCCCGGATCTCTAGAGCCATCGGAGAGCTGTGATTTTTACGACAAAACTCTCCTTTCACAGAAGGGTAAGCCTCTGCATTTGTGTACACGTATATGCATTCCATATAAGCGATGCATTGGTGTAACGTAAGCATGTGCATCCCATATAGATACATCAAACATGCATGAAACAGCATTTTAAAATCGGGAGAAAACCCTAAATCTAATTGACTATCTCCAACAAACATTACATACACTGTCCACCCGAAAATTCTAACACCCCAAAATGTTTGCACCCTGCAACGACTTTAACCCCGCGCATCCTTAACCCTTCCTGACTTACATGCCGATGCACCTCGAGGTGCATTGTCACATAGGGAAGCCGTGTTCCCGGATCCCTAGATCCATCGGAGAGCGCTGATTCCTGCGACAAAACCCTCCTTTCGCAGGAGGGTGGTCTCGGAATTTGTATGCACGCGTGTACATCCCGCATACGCGATGCATCCGTAGCCGCGTTTGCGTCGCATAATGCAACTGCAGGGCTGGCGTGACTCGATGCAAAACCGTGAGAGACCCCACGGGTCTTCAACCGTGTGTTCACCCGTGTGTTCGCCTGTGTGCTCCCACCTGTACACACCGATGCCGTGCAAATTGCCTGCTCTATTATTCAGCTCGATGTTAAAGGGTTGTAAAGTTCGGCGGGCGAGACGCGGACAATCCGCGAGTGCGGCCATTGCGGCGTGGTCCTAAATCGTTCCGAAAACACAACCTCTTTCATCCCGGAAAACGAGCTCGATAATGACCGGGGAAACCGACCGAATGACAAAAGGATGAACGCGAACAATACGCCGACTAAGGAAACCCCTTCCCGAGATTGACGGTGTTTCTTCCTCGTCTGAAAGCACACTTTTTACGGATACGTCGATTCTTTCTCATCTTCCTTTTCATTTTGTACGGGATTCTTTGTCATTGAGAGAGTTAACGAAGGTTTCCTTATTTCCCAGGAAGACGGTATTCGATTTAGCTGAGATGTCTTTGATGTTATTTTTAGGTACGAAATTAATTTCCGTCATGGATTTATCAAATTTCAGAATTAAAGCCTTCCTTATCAATATTCCCAGAAAGTTTCCACGAAACAAGATCTTTCCGAAGAGTGGATGCTCCCCGCGGGGAACGAAGTTTAAAGCCTCGTTTCCATTCGGTGCCGTTTAAAAAAAGAGGGGACGGATATCAGATCGAAATCGGCCAAGAATTGATTTTTCATTTACAAACGCCGCAATCTGAAAAACCATGCATAAATTTCCACTTGAAAGCGCGTGGGATGTTTGGTATAAAAAAAAATTGGAGAGGAAGAATTTCCCAAAATGAAAAGTTGAATAATACACCGGCTTAAAGCACTCCGAAAGGGTGGTCGTACTTAAATTTAAACGTTTTCAAATTGCTCCGGGAATTTAGTGCTCGCAACTTTGTAACGCTTTATTTTTTCTTTTTCCCTAACGGTCAAACGTCCAACTACTCGAAAAAGAAGTTTCAAGTGCATTGCGTGCACTCTGGCGAACCTCGATGCGGGAGATGTTCATTCAAATTCGTTGGAAGTAGACTGGGCTGCAAGTAAATCTGGACTTGGAAAGTACAGCTGACGTTAAATTGGCACGTAAGGTGCATCGTCAATTAGGTCGGATTCCGGCGAACGCGATTGTTTGCTGGAACTCGGAATTTGAGGGAGATCGACTTCGAGGAATCAATTTTTAAAATCGGCGCAGGTGCAACGTCGCCCTCCACCCGATGCAAAAACCTATCCCTTTGACACGCAAGATGCATTACCAAGTGGAATTTCCCCAAGTGGCACAAGGACGTTCCGTTCCGAGTTTTAACATTGGATGCACGAGCTGAATAACTCCGATAACCTCTTTCCCTTTGGAAAATCAATTTCCCCGACAATTGACACGGTGGCGAGGTCGAGCCGAATGCCAATTAAGAATTTCTCCCGCGTTGGGAAAGGTTAAGGTTCGTATGTTTGAATTTTTATCTGTACCTGCAGTGGAGGGTACTTCGCGTGTAGTTTTTTTTTTAAGGGAACTTTTTCGATTTTGAGAGATTTCGCTGATCTTTTAGAGAGATCGGGCGTGACGAGGTCGGGCTTAATTCTAACCCAGGAGGTTCTACCTTCTTATTAACCCTTCAAGGGTCTCGTGCCCAGGAGTCACGCAAAGGGACCGATGGGGTGTAATCTATTCCGGGCTCTATTTTTGGGGTGGTGTTGAAACTTTTGTTGAATCTTTTTACCAGCTGCAAGGGGACCATTGGGGTGTAATCTATGCCAGATTCTACTTTCGGATAGCGTCGGTTATCATTTAACCAGCTGCTCGGTACGATGGGTAGGGATTTCTTCCCCCTGAAAGACCATTATTTATCTCAACTAATTTAATGTTCGACGCCTTGTTCTCGAGTCTGGAACCCTTGTAATCGGATCACTCGGCGAAGCAATAGCTTTCCATCATTAAAAATTCATTTTCGCGTCCATCGACGTCGCAGTCTCGTCCAACACCCCTTCAGCAATTATCTTCCCTCTTCCCTGACGTCCATTTCTCCCGATCTCGACGTTATCGATGATCTCTGCAAAGAAAGCACTCAATTTAAACGGACAACAATTTCTCCCCACTAAATGTCTATTTACAAAAAGAACGGGACCTAGAACAATGACCTTCACACCGTTCCCCTTATCATATCAGAGTTATCACATCAAGATTAATTCATTCAACTCGGTAATTCTGCCCCTCAAACGTATACATAAATTTCCTCGCATCCGATTCTCATAACTATTTAAACTGAGCTATAACTTTCCTTCAACAAAAGTCCATTTACCCTTTAACCGGAAACCTGGTCCAACTATTTCCCTACACTCTATCAAACTATTCCTAAAATCTATACACATTATTCCTCAAGATTGTGTCAAAGTTGTGGATCTTATATCTTAAAAGTAAATCACCATACATTCACTATAGCCTCTAAATTAATTTATAACTTCATAACAGAATCATATAACTTCGTGAAACTATGTAGCAAAATACGTACACTAATATACTATTATCCATCAAATTAGTACACCGTCTGGTATAACAGCATTATCTAAAAAGAAATGTTATAAAATGAATACCCCATTTCTATGTAACAGCATTTTTATAAAATATGTTATACAATTAACATACCATGTCTGAGCACGAAACAAAAAAAGAAACCTTGATATTACAAAATTGCAACATTTCTCCCGACCGTCCCGTTCGCGTCACACATTTCAGCTCGTATGCAAACTCCCATAAATTCGCGGAGAGTCAGCCGGAGGGGCTTGCATGTGCACACGGGACAGGTATGCGCGCGCAGTTGCACGTGCAGCTGGGATTGTGTGGGTATTATGGATTTTAAGGAGAAGAGCGAGGTCAGGTCGATCGCCAGCCCGAAAGACCTTGACTCAGTGGCCGAATGGCGCAGACGCGAAGGTCCACCCCCGCCTGGCAAACGCCACCAACCCCCTCGCTATATTACTCTACAGGCTGTCCACTATTACTATTATTACGCCAAGTGCATGACTCCGCTACCGAGTACGTAACAGTTAAATGAAAACGTCACGCGAGGGTGGAGGGACGACGGCGCTCGTCACACTCGGGGGAGTAACCTTGCCTTTCTTCTTTTTTCCAGGGATGCCTAGGGTGCAGCTAGGGAGAAACTAGGGTGAAACTAGGACTCAACAGTTAGCACGGGGTCGCACGATTTTTCGCTCTCGAAAGGAACCCTCGAAATAGCCTTTTCGTAGGTTAGGGGTTGAAAGCTTAAAGTCGGCAGATGCGAGACAAACGAGTTGGATTATTGCATTTAAATAAATTCCGATGTTACAGATTAATTAAATCAAATCAAACAAGGTTCGATTTCAAGGGGGGAAATCTGCTCCGAGTTGAATGGAATTTGCTGAGAAAATTTTATCGTGATTGTAATGCATCGCGTAATATGTTTTCTAATTTGTGATAATGTCCTTCCACCGAATGGATGTCTCTTTAGTTGGGGACCTTTTATCCAGGTCAGCACTTGCCTAAATTTTATCCAGTTTCTCGCGCATATTTTCGAAAACTAGGAATGGGAGGTGGAGGTGTTGGTGCAACAAAAGCGCAGTTTCGAGGTCCTTAATCTTTCCATTAACTGCAGGCACGTTATCACACAGACCCGGGCGTACGTTCCATCATTTTTTCTCTCCATGTTTTTTGTTGATATAATCTCTTCGTGCTGTTTATTATTTCATTTGATTACTATAATGTTTAATCTTCCGTAAAAGATACCTTTAATATAATTTAGCTGCTACTTGTACTTCACAATTAAAAAATTGAGATGGCCTCTGAGACCACGTATCTACGTTCACAATCGGTTCTTAAGGGTAACGTGCATTAACGAGGCACACATTTCATCATTTTTAAATAAACACGAAAAATGATTGCACATGTACGTGAAACGGATGCGTATCTTTGCAAAGATATTAAATAAAAAATGGGAAAATTTCTGAACCCTTCTCGGTGTTGGGCAAAACAAACTCTGAGAAAGGGCGCTCGAAGAAGGAGAATTGCGGGTCTCGTTAGGAAAGTATTAATTGGCCTCTACCAGGCAAAAGGAACGGCTCGACTGGCCGAGTTCGATTATGAGGAATTATCGACATAGCTCGAGTTATCGGCCTTTTTACGGGAGTTTAATGGCCGATTAACTTTCGCGTGGCGAGCCGGCTTTGTTACTGTGCTCGGTCGGGTACGGCAGGGCCAGAAGGCGGAGTTTAAGGCTCGATTCCGATAATGAGAAATCCTGCAAAATCAAAGACGGCAGGAAAGAATCGAACCGTGATCGACAACCCGGCAAATGTAGGTGAAAATCGAACACAAGCACACACGTGAAAAGTTGCTCGGATTCGGTTTTTCGAAGATGAAACCTCGCACAGTGAATTATAACGATTGCACCTTCCATTAAAAAGAAATGTTTATAACTGATTAAAAAACAATATATAATTTTGAAACTTTAGGTATGGATCGAAGACTCTTAAACGCGCAACGTTTGGTCGCTAAATTGTTAATATCGCGTCAGTATTTGTTTCGACGTTATTTTTAATTATCACGGTTTACAGGATCGTGAAACTGCGAGTTCACCAGATTGCTTGTTTAGAGGAGATCGTTGAACGTGTAGCCGATGTTGCAGGAGACATTGCAAACTTGGACATAAAAAGTCAATGCAACGCTCAGGTTTACGTTATCGCTGCGTAGAAATCCATGGGAGATAGCAAAAAATGTACACCGAGATCAATCCACGTAACGGCGTCCGTGGAAATTGTTTCAGGGAGTGGAAGAGCAGCGTTTGGTTTCATTTCTTTGATCTGCGTGACGTTTCGCGCGGCATTAGCGCATAAATGCATGAATCTCGTGAACAAAAAGCCCGTTGAAGGTAAGAATGCGCTTAAAAATAAATGGCCTCTATCGCTTTGCACACGGACAATGGAGTTCCGTTGCGTGTGGGGTCTCTGGCAATTAACATCACTCTTAACACGTTTCGGATTCCTGACTTTATCAGCAATTATAGTGCCAGAAACTTTTCAGGAGATATCGCGATGTGACATTTCCGCCTAAGTGTTGTACATTTCACCTCTTTTTCCACGACATATGCTGATACGTGATCATTTTTTCCTGGCATTGCCATTTTGACAACAGCTCTATCCTGTACACGGTACAATACAATGTACACGGAGAAAAAAATCTCATTGAATCAAAGAAATACTTCTTTGAATAGTCGATAAATAGGAATTAGTATGGATATTTATTGGGATTGTATGTGTATCGCCTTTATATTTAATTGCTTTAAACTGTCGTCGCCATTTCGTCAACATTTCTACTTCACGGTGAACGAGTTTTAGCTTCGCAAAAAGAGGAAACAATAGTGAAGTTCTTGTTTAAACTCTCGTTAGGACGCTAATATTCATTATAACTTCGGATTTTATTGTAAAGCGTATTTATCGCCGACGTAATTGATAATTAGAGATATCACCGGCGACGGAAATGCCCGACAATGGGACATTCAACAATGGAGTCGTGCGAGGCGTGTTTGCTCGCCTCGGGTGACATTTTCGAAAGGAGGGTTCACCGATTTTGAATTCTTCGACCGAATCTAAATCCGTGAAAAAAGGGAAATGTTCGCTCTGATTCCGACCCGATTTTTCACCTTCCGGGAAAATTGAATTACCTCCTATTAACTCGACTCACCGATATTCGGAATACTACGCGAGAGAGATTATTGTTGGAAACGTGAATTTTCCTAAGCGTTAAAATTAATTTACAATTTCTATGCACCATTTTCCCATAGTCTAGCCTATATTCTTAAGTTAAATCTTAGCAAATTTCCGGAAATTCTAAGGGAACATTTTCATTTTGGGGACGCCTCTTATCGTTAGGTAGTACTAATCGTCTTGTTTGAGTAGATGCAACGCTACGTGAAATTTTCGGAGATTATGAAGATTACACTCAAATTCAATAGTAAAGCCGAAGTCGAGGTTTGCTCTTCCATGATGTCGTTTTCCAATTACACAATTGAATTTCCGTAAAAACTGAGGAAAAATGTCATTTCGGGAACACCGCTTATCACCAAGCAATTCCAATCGTCTTGTTTGGGCAAGTGTATCACGGCGGGCAATTTTCAAAAATTAGGAAGATTGCACTTTGATGTAGCAGCGTAGCCAAAGTCGAGGCTGTAATTCTATAAAATTCATATTTTCTCCTTTCCGATGTCGTTTTCGGAAGGAGAACTGACCGATTTTTTAATTTTTCAACCGAGTCTAAATCGGTGATAATAAGAAAACATGCGCTCCTAAACGTGTTACAAAATTCTCTAACAAGAGTACATGACCTTTTCTCTTTATTTCGTTATCGAAGGCTTTGTTCCAATTACACGATTGAATTTCCGGAAAAACCGAGGAAAAAATTTCATTTCGAGGAGTCCGCTTATCGCCAGGCAGTTCCAATCGTCTTATTCTGGGATATCGCTGCGAGCAATTTTCGAAAATGAGGAAGATTGCACTTAGGTTTAGCAGCATAGCCAAAGTCGAGGCTGCGTTTTCGTGAAATTCGCCTCGATTCTGGCGTTAATTGGTCACGCGACCGCGATCAGTCCGAATTGAGGAAACGGACAATAGAGACGCTTAATCGACGGGGGCATTAGCGGTAACAATGTTGAAATTAATGTTGACACACTGACAAACGTCCCGGTTATTACCGTTAATGGAAGTGCCGATTGGACCTTCAGGGTGAAATGGGTTAAGGCGACCTCTTCGCGGGGCGTCTTTACGGCGTTAGCACGAAAACGACCTCGACAGACCAGAAACGGTGAAAATTTCTCGACACGATTCACTCCCGAGGGAGACTATCGATTCCGACGATTACGGTTATTCAAAATATCCTCTGCGCAAGGACAATCGACCTCTGTTATTAGAAATACCGCCTGGGCAAGGACAACTAGGAAATGCGGTTTCCTTCCATTTCTTTCTATTAGGTTGAGGAATAAATTCCCGCCGTTTTAATTACGTTGCATTACGTTAAAAACGGCGGGGACTCACTTCTCAACCTAATATTTCCAGGGTAACTTTCGGGAAAGCACGAGTCGAGGTAATATTTGTTTAAAAACCTCGATATGCTTCAGACATGCTTAACGCAAAAAACAAAGATACTCTCAGTTTCGTGCTTATTTCACCCTATGGTGAATTCATGTCATCTGTAGATATACATCGAACATGTATTATTTTCTCTAAGGAGAAGATATTATGCCATTGGTCACATTTTATTTATATTTATTAATAGTAAGAATAAGAATTTATCTTTAAATATATTCACTACTCGCCAAAAAATGGTCATACTTAAGAATTACAGTTGTGCATGTCCAATAACCGCATATAATTTGGCGTAATGAAAAGGGATTGGCTCTTTAAATTGCAAGTATTTTTTATACCAAAATAGAATCACCAGTTCTCTATATTATCCTACACAACGTAGATTGTTGTCTGATTTGCACGATTTTCGTTTTTAAGTATTGCGATTTTGTGACGAGCGGTGCATCGATGCGTTCTCGTACAAATGTATTTGGCTCGAAACTCTACTGAGTTTCTTGATAACGCAGGGATAGTTTGAAAATATTTACTCGCTATTCCCTATAAATAGTGCTCTTGTATCGCTTTCGAATAATCTTTTAGAAGTTGAAGAATGTCGGAAGATGTAAGGTTCAATAATTGCGTGATGTGCTGCCTCGGGTACATATTTACCA